GAAGTTCCTTAAACAGTGTCCCAACATCTAGTGAAGTGCTCACCCAAAGATCTTTGTAGAACCCAGCAAGATAAAGCAGGGCTTTCAGTGCTCAGTAGAAAAACCCTTAACCTTTCAGGGGTTTCACAAAGCTCCTGGGGAAAAAAAAATCCACTCATCTTTTAATTCTATTTTTCCTACAAACTTTCTGTGATCCCCTTCATAGTGGCTTGGTGGCCCCACAAACAGGCTCTGTTCTGGGGAGCAGTTTATTCTGGGCAATGTCCCAACAGCTTCCACACCTGGATCCAACGCTCTTTGAGACAGACATGGTCTGGGATAGTGAGACACTTGTCCACAGTCCAGTGCTGTGGCGAGCTCAACCTTTTCTCTCTCCTCACAGGCCACGGCTGCGTGATGTATATACCTGGAGTCCCGGGCACCGCCTGCCTGGCATGGCCTTGATCCTACCAACTCACTTGCTTATCAGGTCTGGAGGCAGCGCAGGCTGGGGACTAAGATACCTTATCTAGAAGGCGAAAGGAGTACGTGCTGGTGGGGCTCCGTTCTTAATAATTTTTTTGATCAACTGCTCAAAGACTTTACGGGGAAAACAGCAGAAAAGAGTCCTAAGAAGACACCACAAAAGGCTAGTCTTTGTGCTTTAGGAAAGTAGCCTAAGTAAGGCAGAGGTGCGTCTGGGTCTCAAGCGAGTCAGGGCACTCACTGCAAGCTCCCAATGTCCCAAAAAGTAACAAGAGCGAGCTCCTCTCCAAAGACAGATCTTTCCACCTCATCTGCTTTCAAATCACGCGTGTGAAGATCATAAAATCCTACAAACAGAAATGGCGAAAAGGCTCCAGTCTCGAAGGAAGTCTCCCCAAGGTCTACCGCCCTCTTTCACATGAACTACCTCAAAGATTCTCCTCTACCAAGGATGTCAGCAATCCCTATTCTACCAACTGCCCTCGCTCCCTCTCGGGAAAGACTACAGGGTCTCTTCTTCATGTGGGGACCTCTCTCGAGGCTCCCCATCTTCGCCCCTTTTAAATTCCCCGACCTTTGAACCCCTTGCTGTCCTGCCGCCCTTCTCACAAAGGACCTGAATTTCCTTCCACAAGCTTTGGCCTCCATCTCCCGGTTCTCCAGAGGATCCTTCCTCGGCCCCAGCCAGCCCTTTCCTCTGGGTGGTTTAAACCTCTCCCACCCTCCGGGGCTGTTTTTGAATTTGAACCGTTCAGCTCCCTTTTGTCACTAATCCCCTCTCCTTGCTCCACAGAAGCTTCCTGATAAAAAGGATTTAACCGGAGGTCACCTCTCCACTCACTCCTCAGTCTTCTGCAATCTAGCTTCTGCCCCAGCCCCTGTTCAGCGTCCTTGGTGGCCAGTAACTGACCACCCCCACTTTTCTTTCCACTCGGTAACCCAACACTTTCGGGTTCTCCTACCTCTCTGGTCACACAGTCTGGGTCTCTGATTCAATAGTCACTGAAAGCCTACTAAGAGCTGTATAGTTTTGCCTTGTTTGGGTTTTCTGTGTTTTAATGTGTGAGAGCCTTTCACAAATAGCAGTGAGCAAGGCTTAAACCCTTCTCGTTAAGAAGTTTACTGTCACCAAGGCATAGGAACAAGTACTTGGGCAATTCTAGCACACCACGACAAGCCTAATGACAGAGGAGCACAGAGCCCGGGGGCATCAGACTTCTGTTTTTCCCAGTTTACTTCTTAAAGACTGCAACTTCCTTAGAATTCCACCCTGGCTCCTCGGCTCTTTTCACCCTCTACAACTCCTTGAGTAACTAACTATACATTTTTCTATGACAATTACCATCTATAGGCTGACAACTCTCATAACTTTTTATCTTCTCATCTCTTTCTTCCTATAAAACTGCAGGCAAACACATCAACTGCCCCCAGGATTTCTCAAGGAATCTTAATATGTGTTGCTAAAAAATACCAGAAGTCGTCATCTGACATAGCTTTCCCCAGCACCCATATGAAAGTGGCCAAACCAGAAATCTGGAATCCTTGTCTCCTAACCCTAATCCCAAGTGTGTCCTGGTTTGATGCTCTCCAGCCTGTTGACTCTTAGCAGTCCCGTAGGCAGTCCCAGAGAGCCTTTCTCCCACTGAGACCATACATTCATAAACATATGCCCCAGAGTGATACTTTTAAAGCATAAATCTGACAAAACTTCAATGCATAAAAACTTCAGTGATTCCCTGCAGATTAAAGTCCAACTTCCTCGGGATAGCATGTCTGGCCCATCATGATCTGGTCCCCATTAACTTCTCCAAACTTATCACTTGCCTTCCTGTTCCTACCTCTACGCTTCAGCTATGTGCATATATCTGTTGACTTCAAGGGTGCTGTCTTTCTAAGGAGGCCTGCTGGTGCAGAAGGTCAGCAGTTCAAACCCACCAGTGCTCCACAGAAGCAGCCTTGGAAGCCCCGTGGGGGGTGTTCTACGCTGAGTCAGAATTGACTCAATGGCCATGGGCTTGGTCTTTGGATTGCTCTTGCTCCCAAACATGCTGTAACTGTTGCTTTCCCTGTAACAGACTCCTGGCTCCTGTGCTCGGAGTTTGAACGAGCATGGCACCTCCTTCCCCACCTCCCCAGACCGGGGTGGGTGACTCTTCAACTCGAGCACCTTCAAATCCAACAGTGATACTGGAACGTGATTCTCTGGTGTCTGGTAGCCTTCCGTCTAGAGCAGTGGTTCTCAACCTTCCTCATGCTGCGACCCTTTCACAGTTCCTCAGGTGGTGCTGACCCCACCCCCGCCAACCGTAAAATTATTTTTCGTTGCTACTTCATCACTGTCCTTTTGCTACTGTTGTGAATCGAGCGACCCCTGTGAAAGGGTGGTTCGACCCTCAAAGGGGTCGCGACCCACAGGTTGACCCACAGCTCTAGACGGAGCGCTGAAGATGGGAAACGAGGCTTGAGCATTCCCATGGTCCCAGCGCCTACTCCCCAAGGCTGATTTTGGGTCCAAATTCACAGGCTGCATCCATCTTCTCCCAAGGCTGCAGGCCCCATTTCTCAGCACCACCAACCAGCCTTGCTCTGAGGCTGGGGAGACCGGGCACCAGTTGGTGACCACCAGTTGGCGGTTCTCACTGGCCTCTCGCCCCAAAGGATCAAGGGGCCAGGGAAAGACCTGTGTACTCCCAGCAGGAAGGTACTAGCCAACCTTCTCCATCAGACAGCCCCCCCCAACCCAAACGCTCCACCATCAGCCTTCCCCAGAACCCTCGAGAGCAACCCCCCCCGCTGGCCTCCACCACCTCCTCCTGCCTCGACCTCCCTTCCCGTCTCAGCCTCCTCCCTCGGCCTCCACCCCCATTCCTCCTCAGGTCCTCCCCGGGTCTCGACCTCCTGCCTCCCTCTGCCTCCGCTCCGGGCTGCGGGCCCGCGGCCCCCGCCGCCCAATCGGGCCCGGCCCCGCCCCGCCCCGGCGCGAGGGCCGCTCACCGTCGTAGTAGTAACAGACTTTCCTCCGGGTGCCCTGAGTCTGCGCCATCTTGCTCGCCTGCCGTCCCTGCCGTCAGTCGGTCCGTCTGCCCTCCCGCCCGTGGCTCGGCGTCCGACCCGGGGGGAGGGGGGCGGGCCCCCAGCCCGCCCCGCCCGTCCCCTCCCGGACTCACCTATAGGCGCGCAGCCCGGGCACGGCTCCAGCCAATCAGCGCGAGCCGGGACGGGCCCGGAACTCGGCAGGGGGCAAGGGCAGCCCTGAGAGGCAGCCCAGGGGCCCCCGGGGCCTGTACCACGGGCTGCGACGGAGGGGTGGGGGCCGCCCGGGGACCGTACCATTCGTCCCAGGGGAGGACGGCAGCGCCGAGCTTCGCGGGGGCCCAGCCGGCCGTTGGGCGCGTGCTGGGAGATCAGAGGCCAATTCTGTCCTTTTCCGGGGGCTGCATTGAGGCCCGGCGTGGAAAGATGCAGCCCACCAGAACGTTCAGCCCTAGGAGCGACAATCGCTAACACTGTGCCTCGCTTTCCCTGGGCCTGTTCTCCTTGGAGAAGGCCCCCTGCTTGGTCAAGTAGAGGGTCCTTGACAAAAAAAAAAAAGAGGAAGACCTTCAAGGAGATGGATACATTGGCACAGTGGCTGCCAACGCCGGACTCAAATATGGCAACGCAAAGATTGGCCCAGCACCGGGCCTTTCCGTTGTTGAGAAGGAACTGACCCTACAGTACCTCACAAGCAACTAGAGGACAAGTGACTTCCACAAGGTCACCCCGCTAAGGAAGGGGCTGCAACCGAGTTAGGACGCAGCTTGGAAAGAAGGCGAACTAAACCCACAAACTTTCAGGCACTTGCGATGGACCTTTTTTTTTTTTTTTTTCATGTCCGTCCTCTCAATAGCTTGGGCTGAGGGCTTTTTCCCTCCCATTTTACAGATAAGGATTGTGAATTGATGAGTCCCTGATTAATCATTAAGGTTCATTATCATGGTACTGGTTTGTTGAAGGCCTACTGAGTGCCAGAGTCCTTGTACCAAAGTGGCAAAACAGCCTTTCTGACTCCACAGGTGACCTCTCCCTCGGCAATAGCTTCAACATCCGCTGACTGGGGGTCCCAATCCACTTGAAGGCCAAGGCTTCCGTCTCTAGATGAAGGCTTCTCCACCCTGGAGGCATTTACACAAGTCTTTGTTGTTTGGGGGACCTGCCCCATGCATGGCCTTTTAGGGTGCTGGTTTGGTTATCTAGGCCTGAATGGCTTTAACAAATTTATTTGTTCAGTTGAGGAATCTGAATTCTATAGGGAATGGCTTTCTCCCTGGGTGTTGGCTCTGGGGGAGGGTCCTCATCTCCCGTCAGCCAGCGTCTGTGGGCCCCATGTTCTTTGGAGATCTCCGTGTGTCTTGAGTCTTCCCCTGGGTCTGAGAAGTCCTAAGGCAAGCTCTGCTCCCAGCTCTTTGTTGGTGGTAGGAATTTCTTCTTTTTCAGGTCTACCTCCCTCTCCTTTTGATCTCTTAGGAAAGATGCTCCAGGCCATAACCAGGGGAATTCCCCTATCTCACGAAGGTGCTTTGAGTCAGAGTACTCTAGCCCACCCTTCCCTCTGATTGACTGAACACATCAGATGGCATCATGGGAGATGGTTGCATCATGACATGGTGGCCAAACCACTGAACATCATGACCCAGCCAAGTTGGCGCATATTTTGGTGGGGGACACAATGTGATCGCTGATTGATGCCTAGCAGCATTCTAGGCCTGGACCAATTAAGTGATAGTAGCATCCTCGAACCCCGAGTTGTGACAACCCTCCCAGCATTGCCAAACAGCCCAGGGACAGGGAGACGTTAAACCAGTGCGGATCTTCTCGAGGAAAGTGGTGGGGGGCCCACATCTGACTTCTTTTCCAGCTCCCAAAACTGATTGACACAAAGTAGAGGCCAGATATACCTCCAGCCTCCGTTCCTTTTACCCCAGGCTGACAGTAACCTTCCCTCCCACTGCACTCTGTGTCTGTGGCTGGGGTCTGTCATTCATTACAATGACCACACAGAACTCACAGACAATGCTCATGATGACGGCATTGAGTGTAGAAGTTAACAGATTACAATTCAGGTGAGAAATGCTCAGGATACAATTGTTCAGTCAAAACCTGTTGCAAAGTTCCTTTAGGGCTGCCAAAGGGCATGCCACTGAACTGTAAGTCTCAACCCTCAGGTACTCCAATTCATCTCTGGGGGTCAGCAAACCCAACTGCCTGAATTAGGTGCCCAGAGGCACCCATTCTACAAGCCCACCCCCTACCCAAAAGCTCTGAGCTGTCCTTGCTCTGGGGGCTGCGAAGTCCACTGCTCTGCCTCGTGCTCTGGCTCCTGGTTTTGTTGTTGCTGCCCCTCTGTCATTTCTCTGGCGCCAAAGCTGCCTCAGGAATTGATAGAAAACTCGCTGAAATGTTTCACATGAGGAAGCACTCACTCGTCTATGCCAGGAAATTTGGAAGACAGGTATTTGGCCAACTGACTGGAGGAGATCCATATTTGTGGAAAGGTGACCCAACAGAATGCTCAGACTATAGAATGATATTATCGATATCGCACACAAGTTAAATTTTGCTTATGATTATCCAACAATGGTTGCAGCGGTACATTGACAAGGAACTGCCAGAAGTTCAGGCCAAATTCAGAAGAGGGCGTGGGACAAGGGATATCATTGCTGAGGTCGATGGATCTTGGACCAAAGCAGAAGATACCAGAAAGATGTTTACTTGTGCTTCATTGACTGTGCAAAGGCATCCAACTATGTGGACCATAATAAACTGTGGATAACCTTGAGAAGAATGGGAATTCCAGAACAGTTCATTGTGCTCATTGGGAACTTGTACGTGGACAAAGAGGCAGTTGTGCAAACAGAACAAATGCATACAGCATGGTTTAAGTTCAGGAAAGGCGTGCGTCAGGGTTGTGTCCTCTCACAATACTTGTTCAATGTGTATGCTGAGCAAATCATCAGAGAAGCTGGATTCTATGAAGAATGGTGCAGCACCAGGATTGGAGGAGGCTTATTAACAGCCTGTGTTGTGCAGATGACACAACCTTGCTTGTTGAAAGTGAGGAGGAACTGAAGCCCTTGCTGATGAAGAGATAAAGGATCGATCTAGTCTTCAGTATGGATTACAACTCAATGTAGGGAAGACCCAAATCCTCTGTACCAATAGGGAACATCATGATAAATGGAGGAAAAGTTGAAATTGTCAAGGATTCTGTCTTACTTGATCCACAATCAAAGTTCATGGAAGCAGCAGTTAAGAGATCAAAAGATGTAGTACTTTAGGTAACTCTGCTGCACAAGACCTCTTTAGAGTGTTGAAGAGCAAGGATGTTACTTTGCGGACTAAGGTGCACCTGACCCAAGCCATGGTATTCTTCATTGTATCCTATGCATGTGAAAGTTGGACACTGAATAAGGAAGACCGTAGAAGAATTTATGCATTTGAATTGGGGTGCTGGAGAAGAATATTGAAAAACCATGGAAAAAGTAAGGCCAGAGTGCTCCTTAGATGCTAGAATGGCAAGACTTCTTCTTACATACTTTGAACATATTATCAGGAGAGACCAGTCCCTGGAGAAAGCCATTGAAGCAGAAGGGTGGCGAAAGAGGAAGGCCCTCACGAAGATGCATTGACACACTGTGGCTGCATCGATGGGCGCAGGCACAGGACCAATGGAGAGGACGGCGCAGGACCAGGCAGTTGTGTTGTGCCGTTGTGCAGGGTCGCTATGGGTCGGAACCGACTCGATGGCACCTAACAACCACAAAGCTGTCTCCTGGATCAAAGAGGTTCCCTTCCAGGGAACTTGGGATCCAGAGAAAGCATTGCACTCCTGGCTCCTGCTGGTAGTGAGATTCCCCCTCCCTGCTTCTGAGGTGGTTCACTTTATGCCCATCAGGATGGCAATCACAATTAACTCTGTATCTTAAAGCTTACATTCTGAGCACTAGGTTTTCAGAAAGCTACAGGTTATAGTGAAAGCCCCAAATCCACGTCAAGAGTCCACACGGGAACTAAGCCTCTATTGGAATCTTCTGGCCTTTAACCAGAGATTTGAACAGTCTTGTCTACAGGCAAAGTACATTAGAAAGTGGATTTGTGCCACAACTCTGGCCAGCCAGGCAGGGGCAGCCTCCCTTAGGGGAGGCTGGGTGTGTCCTTGATGGGGTTAGGGTACTGGGCATCGCACAGACATGAGTCAGGTCCTAACTGCCTAGGTTAAAAGGCCCTGGACCAATCTTGTAAGCACTCTGTCATGCATAACATACATGTCCCAATCATGTTCCCATTTCCGTTTCTATAGTCCTGCCCACAAGTCAACTGTGATGTATTGATCTGCAGCCAATCGTGCTTCTGTGACAGTTTCCTGTATCCTGTTGTGGTTGTTAGGTGCCTTGGAGTCCAGCCCTGACTCTGTACAGTAAGGTGACCAGACGTCCCACTTTTGGCAGGACAGTCCTGATTTTTGGCATTTTTAAAAAGTCCCGATTTTTTGAAAGAATGCACGATAAGCTAGGGAACGGTCTATTTGGTCCAAATTTTTAATCAAGAACACACACTCTCCGGTCAATGGTGTCCTGCTTTAAATCTGGTCACCTTACTGTACACACAACAAAAGGACACACTGCCCGGTCGTGCCCATCCTCACAATTGTTCCTATGCCTGAGCCTATTGATGTAGCCCCTGTGTCCCTCCATCTCATTGGGGAACCTCTTCTCTTTCTTTAACCTCCCATGTCCTGTGCAAGCCGTCGTTTCTCGGTAAACCTTGGGACAACCTTTATGACCTCTTGCTGATTATCTCCCTCATCCGGATGATTTACATTTTTCTTCTTTGTCCAATTTGTGTCTTAGTAAATGCTGTCCTTAAATTTTACTTGAGATCTGGGAGTCTCCTTTGTCCCTTAAAACATCTGTTAACAATCACAGCTGAGTCCTATCCCCATCTTCCTCCACCTTCTCTTACCCAGACCCATCAGGAAAGGCCCTTTGGTGGGAGCTACAGAAACTACAGTCACATTAAATAATTCACTGCACTGGACCCCCCTTGCTAGGTCACTTCATC